GTTTAACATTTGTAGTTGGTATATCAAAAGAATTGAAATTACACAGTGGGTTAATATTTGAAAGAGATGAATTTTTAACATAGTATGGGTTTGGAATACATAAGGTGGTAGCATATGACTTCTGATTATCAGTTTTTGGATTAAAAGAATACAAGAATTAATAATTTTGGAAAAGAAGGTTTTTTTGAGAAATCTATTTGTAACTCAAATAAATAAAATGTTGGTAAACCTAAAATAAGATATTATATTGGACTATCACAAAAAAACAAACATTTCTTGATACTTTGTAATTTTACCTAAGCTAAGCCTAACCAATATTTTGTATAATGGGTAAGTAAATCCTTCTACCTGACCTATTCTTTCTTTTGGGGATTATCAAATATTTTATAATAAATATGGTTTAAGTATTTTAAAGGGATAATAGATATGGATGATGCAGTGTCAAGTACACAGGGTAAAGATATATGGTCTATAAATACAGAGAAAAGTAATAATGTTCTACCTGGGTTGATGCGCTTCGGATGATTACACTGATAGACAAAACTTAAGGAACTCAGTGATATTTATCACTGTGCATCAAATATCTCTCAGAGTTATTTTCTGAATCCCGATATATATATGCTATAAGGTACAACTTCCTTAAGTTTTGTCTATCAGTGTTATTGTTCTTAAGTGGACAGTCTCTATGGAAATGGATCTGGTTGGGTAGCTGGTGAGATGCACATATCTTGCAGGGGTATGGAGGCTGGTTCATTGATTCGTGGGGTTCTTGCTGGTGGTGAGTTGCTGCTGCTGTCCTGGGAAAAGGCTGGTATTGATGAGCTTTAGAGGAGTTGGAGTTGAACCTTTTTACTGGAGTGCTTGTACTGGTAGAGCGTTGTTGAGGTTCTTCTTTTTTATTTGTTGATAATTTTAATTGGGTTGTAATTTTATACCAGTCTGAAGGTACTTGTACTCTTGCAGCTATTAGATATTTTTTAGGTAATCTGGCATTCCATCTGTAAGTGCCTCTAATAACAGTGTTTTTTCAAGATTAAGTTTATTGGCTAAGGCAGATATTTCTTTAAAATACTGTTCAAGATCATTATTATCATTATATTTTAAATTTAGAAACATACTAAATATATTTGAATCCTTAATTGTGAAATATGTTATCAATTTTTGTTCAATTTCCCCCCAATTATCTATATCTTGTAATTCTTCTATGTAATAACTGAAAGCTTCACCCTCGAGATAATTTGATATATTATTTTGTTTAAAATCTTCATCAAGATGCTTCTGTAAACATTTTCTATGAAAAAAAAATTGAGCCAAGATATTATGTCTAAAATTTGACCATTAAATTTCGGTATTTCTATAGTACTTGGATTTGGCGTCATGGCATGTTCTACATTCCTTTGTTTGCGAGACATTTTGTAAAATTAGTTTTATAAAATTTGAATAATTTATAGAGCAATTGGGTTGAAAATTCAGGTAATCCTGTCGACTTATTGTTATGAATATTTTGGTTGTTGTGGTTAGATAAGGTTTGATAAGACAAAGGATCGATAAGATAAAGGGTTGAGGTGCAGTCGTGATAAAAAAAGATAATTATTTACCGTCAAGTAGCTTTTATTTTCAATTACTTGAGGAAATATTACACATTAGTTAGTTCTATACATTATATAGAATTTATAAGTTAATCCTATATTAGTGATTTAAAAGGATTGATTGGTTAAATACGCATATTTACAACAAAACTATACAACAAAACTGAAAGTCTTTATAAAAATGATGATAACAAAAAATGAAATAATCAATAAATAAAATAAAATATATATTTTTTAAAATATAGAAATATTTCAGGTTTTAGATTATATAATATATATATATACTATAGATGCTATATTACTACACACTTATTATTTAGAAACTTTCATCATTGCTTAACATATTGTAAATAACTACCTTGCGATTTCTTCTATCTTCCTATGTTGTTGCTTATTTGTTTAATGTATATGTTTATTTAATGCTATTTTTCTTAATTGTTTATTTTCTTTCTGATAATTCTGTTACCTAATCTACTACAATATGAATTATTGTAAATAGTTTCACGCGCAATTATCCATATCAGATATAGCGTGTCTTGTTTGCCACTGGGAATAAAGAAGTAAATATTATTTAGTAAGATTATCTATTTAGATATAATATTAGGAAATAAAATTCAAAAATATTGTAACAAAGTATTTATTATTTTATTAGCAGAGTATTATTTTTTTATTATTATTAATAGGCTAATCCCCTAATAGAATGTTCAAATCAATAAGCTTGAGGGATAAGTATCTTTCAAAGATACTTTTGAAAGATACTTATCCCTCAAGCTTATTGATTTGAATATTAATTTTTATGTTTATATTTTGTTATACTCTGTACACTTCCCTCTTTTGCTTATCTTTTGTTTTTAAACTTATAGTTTGTTCTTACCGGAAATAAATTGGTGTCTCATCCCAAAGTTGGTCTTCCCTAATTTTCCAGGTGGCAATATTTTACGATGAAAGTAATGTATTGAGGGTTTAAGTGAAAATATATTTTCTTAGACATCCATATGATTTTTCAAAAGCATTCATCCATAAGTGTATTTATGTATAGTTTCGTAGTTCTATAATTAAATACATTACACTATAAAAAGAGAAGAGAGAGTAGAAAACTATTGGTTAAAATATATTGATGGCAATTGCAATGTATATTGTATATTCTCTTATTTATCTCATATAACATTAAAATGATAATGATTCTTTATATATGACCAGGCACTGAATTTGCCACACCAAGAATTAGTGGGCAAGGTTTTGTGAAATCTACATAAAGAAGGTACCAATGTCCATAGTTAATCTAAAATACCCATTCAAAGAGTCTAGCAAAGTATCACTATAAAAGAAAGTTCCAAAATGCAATACAACAGCGGTATGGTAGAATAAACTGGCGAAACCGCTGGGAGGGTTCACTACTGATGAGCCTGGCCCTGTCATTAATTTTTCCATCGCAGTAAGGACAGTATAAATTGTTTTTTTTTTTAAGAATCATACGCGTCTATAATGTTTTTGAATTTTGATAACAGATGGCGCGCTAATGCATCATAATAAATAATCTTCATTAGAACATAATATACACCTATATACTGAGTGACATCTCCGTCCACTTAATATGTTGTGGGACCACCGCTATGTCAACATGTCTTGGTACTGACTCAATGGTGTCCTAAGGGATGGCTGTCAACCATCAGCCATAGTTCATCTTCAAAACGCGGCTGTGGCAACGCACGCAAACGACGTCCAATTAGGTTCCAGACGTGTTCTATAGGTGAGAGATCAAAAGAGACTGGTGGACATGGAAACACCGAGGTTTCATGAAGGACGTATTGGCTGATCGTGCTGTATGTGATCAGACGTTATCCTGCTGGTAAATGGCATTTGGTAGCCGCAATCATGTCATCCACATAACTTTGTACCGTCATAGTTCTCTCAATAGGAACCATCGGTGACCTACTGTCATAGGAGATGGTTTTCCAAACCATATTGCTGATCTACCGTGAGGTGCGGCGTTCCACAGATGCGGCCGAATTTGATATGTTACCGAGGCGGCTTCGAACTCTTACTTGGTGACTGTCATTGCTAAACCAGAAGCAAATTTCATCTGAGAATACTACTCTGTGTCATTCCGCTGTCCATGTGGCTTTATCTCGAAAAGATATAGCAAATGGAGTTGTCTCTGCCGTTGGGTCAATGGCAGTCTTCTTAACGAGCGCCTTAAGTGATGACCAATCCACATATAAAGGTTCTGGTCGATATATGAGAGAATCAAGAGTGTGATGCACAACTTGAAAAATGACGAGAGAAGTGAACTGTGACGCCACCAACGCCGGTTCAAGCATACTGACGTCAATTTGACCGCTTCTACGCCATAGCCGGTGCACTGTGGACGCGTCAAGATGTCTGTCCGTAGAGATTTGACGTATGGATCAACCGGCCCTTCTGAGTTCAATCACCTCTCGTGAAATACTTCTGTCTACTGGAACAGCCTAGGCTAGCAGAGGCCTGCCATTCTCTGCTACTAAAACTTTTCTCCGAGACAAAAAACAAAAAAAGCAAATACTTTCGCTATTTTACAGAGAGGTGAGAATGTTATGTAATTAAAGTAAGTAAGAAGGATGAATCCGTAACCAATTTGACATTACACAAGGTGTATATCTTGGTATATGTTATTACATAGAAACAACAAAAATGACAAATATAATACACATTGCAAGTTCCTTTTCAAACACGAGCTCATCTATAGCCATTGTTACTCTGAGTGATATTCCTACAAAGACTATTGGTATATTTGAAAGTTTCTTCTATTGTATCTCAATCAACATGAGCGGGATACTGCGTAATCATTTACATATCTCCTTAACTAACTTCGAAATTTGAATATTTCTGCCCAGTAATTATTGATGTTTCAAATTCATAGTCACGAAGTGTTTTATAAAATATATAATATTTTTGTTAATATAATCTAATGGTCTTCACAGTTAATAGCTTGACAACCTACTTATATCCTCTCTTTATTAAAATATTGCTACGTAAAAAATTAGGGAAGACAAAAACTTCAGGAGGAGACAACAATTTATTTCATGCAAGAACAAACTATAAATAGTAAATAAAAGATAAGCAACGAGGGAAATTTACAGAGTAGCAAAATATAAACATACAAATGACCACTCTGTTAATAAAAATAATAAAATTGATAAATACTTTGTTACAATATTTATTACTTGAAATTAAGAGTGAAAGGAAGTTAAGCGATACTTCAATGCTAAAGAAGTATTTTCTTTATGTAAGAGATTTGTGCATTGAACGAATGATCTTTCTTTTTGCGTCTTTATTATCACTAAATCGATTTTATAATTTATATTTCCGCTAATAATATAACGCCTATTTCATAATACAATATAATTCGGCTTATGATTGTAAAACGATAAGGACGGGTAGCCTAGTGGACATGGCATCTGCCCGGTAAGCGGAACACTGTGGGTTCGATTCCCATCCCTGGACACTTTTATTTTCCCTTTCATCATTACTCTTCACAATTAATACTTTCATACTTCATTTCTAAGGTTAGAAATAATCGTTATTTCTCCTTAAAAATAAATTTCTATTTTTAGTTTGAAAGAAATATTAATACATGCGAGATAATTTTCAAATGTCGTTTTACCTATTTTATAATCAATTTTCTTTTCTGTTAATCGGAAAGATTTTTAATATTTTCATTTATATTGCAACGATAAAAAATTTGACGCGTTGTATCTTTTATGAAATAAACTATTTTCTACTGCACTTTACCGCTAAGAATTCATCACTGATCAGTCATAGCCCCCCTCCATTTATTTAATCATTGCAACAAGTGTTATGTAATTAAAGTAAGCAAGAAGGATGAATCTGTAACCAGTTTAACTTTACATATTATTTATTATTAATATAAATTATACAAAACAAATCTTGGTATATTTACCAATATTTCAGTTGGCTGAACGCCAACCTTTATCAAGGTGTTATAACATTTTAAAGTGTGTCAACAACAAACTCAGCGCCACATAACGTCAACAGAATTAATTTTTAAAAAATATTTTGTTATAATCAATTGGGAGAAAAATTATATATATATATATATATTTATTTATATTATGGACAAAATACATTTTGTAAAATATGGATGTGAATATTTTGAAAAAATAACAATGACACCTATTTTATATTTAAAAATATGTCTATATGAAAACAACAAAAACAATAAAACGTTATATACATACAAGTTCCTTTTCAAACTCAGTCTCATCTATAGCCATTGTTACTCTATGATTTTTCAACAGTAAGAACATTAGAAAATTGTTTATTTAGAAAAAAGATACATATACGTCAAAAATAGTTTAAAATTCTTATAACAGATGGCGCCCTAATGCATATAATTTATTACTTTTGGGGATTTAAGAAAAAAATATAGTTTTTAGATAGAAATATACATTTTTAAAAGAAACACTCTATGTTGGCTTGGTTATCTAATTTGTCCCATGTAGCCTTGTGTCCAGAAATCACTCCAAAAGATGAGTGGAAGCAGGTGTTTCTTTGTCATCCAATATCGATTTTTGCTTTTTATCCATTTTTTAACCTTAAAAATAGTTTTGTTTAAAATACCTGAAACAAATATTATATATACCTCTGAAATTCTGAATTTTAGTGGAATCAAAAACTCTATATAAAGCTTGAATTATAATATACATTGTAATAAATCGATTTATTCATTATAACGATAAACTTTTTTGCGTCTTGATAATCGCTAAAACGAGGTTATAATTTATATTTCCGTCAATATATATTTATAAAAGCTTATTTTTAAGATAATATTTTTTTGTGTATCGAAAAGATTTTAAACCTATTCATTTATAATAAAGTATATATATTAAAAATGTTTTCTTGTATTGAAAGACGCAATTTTTGGACGTATATCAATTTTAGAAATAGATTTAGCTCGATCACTCTCTTTGTAAAGGTATTATGACATCCCTCAAAAAAACAAGTTTCAATTATTTTAATAACAATTTGGTATTCTAAAATATATTTAAATCATAATAAAAGTAAATATAAGAGTGATCCAGTGTGAAATATTTTATAAAATTATTCCTCTCTCTATAATTTTATAAAATTTCTATAAAAAAAAACAAAAATTATTAATTTAAATTATTTTGAAACTATTGTAAGACCAAATTATTTTTTAAATACTATTTGAAATATATGTTGAACATATAATTAAACTATTTGATGATGATAAGTAAAAAGCAGAAGGCTCCATGTTTAAATGAATCACTAATAAATAAATATTATCGAATTTCCATTAGTAAGTCATCGATCAGAATTCTTTATTTTCCTTCAAATTCAATGCCATTCACAATTTAAAATATATTATATATAAGAGATAATACCTAAATATATATTTAGATAAATATATTTTTCCATTATTCACAGAATATTATTCATATTCTATGAATAAATAAATGTACAAAATATTATCAGAAATTGAAATGACTGCCCTCTAAAGGGCAACACAATCGATAGTCATATTTGATGGTCGCCATTGATTCCATTATAAAAAGGAAATTGATTCATCGACTGGAGATAGCTATAATGGGGGAATATGATAATTTAACTTTTTGCTGGATTTCTTATTGAAGAATTTTACATTTTCACTGAGGGTCGGTGGAAGGATGTTCTAGCCCATATTGTTTGAACGCTACGGTCCGGGATCGAATCCCGCATTTAGCACTCTTTTCTAATTTAAATAAATGCTCCAATAGCTCCTGAATCTTGTAAAGGTCCAACCCCACTAGAGACTGCAAGTAACCAAACAGAGCACTGGCACTTTTGTAAGTGCAAAGTCGAACTGCTTTTCACATGTGTAGACATATGGTGCACTTACAGTAAAAGCAGTCGCCTACACCTACCCACCATGACCATGGTACCACGTGAACTAGTGTAAATAAAAAAATCTTTTTCACTCATAGTACAGTAGAACCTCCCTTCAGCGGACACCTCTCCACAAAAGACAATTCTAATTTGCAAGATTACAATTTTACAATTTAGCAACTCTCCGGTAAGAGAACACCTCTCTCTAAAGGGCACTTTGGCTCTGTAATTAGGTGTCCTTTACAGGGAGGTTCTACTGTATATGGATATACATTATATATACATAATATATCTTTACCTAATGTTTGATATAGATAGAAATTTTTGCCGCGAGGAAATAGAACTATAGAAGGTAATAACACCTCATCCGTTAGAATAGACACCAAAAATGAGCGCCATATCTATTGACCGTAATACAAACTAGAGGACTCAGGTCGATGACAAACCACAACACTAGCTTTGGAAAACCCAGAAGGCTGACCAGAGACCATAATTTTAGATTGTGCACTAAATACCTCACTGTAAATTCTGAAGATACAGTAAAATTTGGGTTATCTCAGGAAAACTATTTCTTGAAGGCGGCATCACAGATTTCTTATATAGAAAAAATGCACATATACAATCATGGATAAAACTTATGGCTGAAACTTCAGCTGTTTGTCTACCTTTTGTAAAAAATATATTTTATAGGTAGAATAAAACACCAAACAAGTTAGTATTTTGGTTTCAATACTCTAGAATATACACCAATCGCATGAATGTGACGTATATATTTTCTAGATAATATAATATCCTTCAAATTTGAATATATTCACTAAATTTTGAAAACCAATATTAGGTCCTACATATATTGTATTCGGAATGAATACAATTCAATGAAAGAAAACTTAAGGAAGTTGTAACTCCGGCTTTGCCAGTCCCAAGCCCGGATGAAAAAAAAAAGAGGGGGAGCAGTAACAAGCTCGTTATAAAACTGGGCACAGCTGGCCTGGTTGATAGTACCCTGTAAGGGCTCCTGTTCCAGGGATACAGGATAAGTCTGTACTCCTTGTTAGGAGCCGCTGCACATGGCGTCTGTTCCTTATGTCAGAGGTGGCCATTTCTTTTGGAGCTAAGTAAGCCTGCCACTGAGTAGTGCTTCCAGTCTTAATGACAAAAGCATTCTACTTCACCCAGTCATGATGAAGTGGAAATAAGAAAGAAGAAGAGAAAGTTGTACGTTTTATCATATATATCGGGATTCAGACAATAACTCTAAAAGATATTCGATACATAGTGACCTTTATTGAAGAAACACGAGAGAAACATTGTAAACATAATTGCATCTGCCTTCTTCTAAAAAATAGATAACTGGAGATAAAGACTTTTAACTAGGTTCTGTCCATGAATATTTCGATATGTACATGGTCTTTCTTTATCGATATTTTACTGAAGGTTACTACGTGTATTCCAGTTCTGTGTGCCACAAACAGCAGTTTGAACATCAGTGGATCATGTCGCTTGATTTTTCTTTACATGTAGAGGACAACTTTTTGATCAACATTACTATATTGCAATAATGTAAAAGAACAAAAAGGAGTTTCTTGTGTAGAACACGTTTATTCCCGCTAGCTTTCTAACGACATCGTTCTTCAACGGGTGTGAAGATAAAGCAATGGTCAATATATAGAAGTACAATGAGAGACCAGTTCTATATATTGTCATGTGTTATGCTTCATCTTCACGCTCGTTGAAGAACGATTTCGTACGAAAGCTAGCGGAATAAATGTGTTCTAAACAAGAAGCTCATTTTGTTCTTTTATATTATCGCAATTTATATACATAATTTTTAGTTTTACATTGTATTTATATACATAGTTTTATAAAATCCGCATTTGCCGGTCCCAGGCCCGGATGAAAAAGGGAGGAGGGGTAGCAGTAACAAGCTCACTAAAAAACCTGGGCTCAGCTGGCCCGGCTGATAGTAACCTGTAAGAGCTCCTAATCCAGGTAAACAGGATGAGCAGCGTTTGTACTCCATGTTAGAAGCGGCTGCACATGGCGTCTGTTCCTCATGTCAGAGGCGGCCATTTCTTTTGGATTGCCACTGAGTAGAGCTCCTAGCCTTAATGACAAAGGCAGACACATTCTACTTCACCCAGTCATGATGGTTGTCAAACAGAAACCATCAAGGGTCACAACTTGATATCCTAATATGATTGAGATAAGAAAGAAGAAGAAGACGACATAGTTTTGTATTGTGTCATTGTAATATATAAATGTACGTAGCTACAATTTAAGACCGTTGTTACGGAGAATAAAGTATGTTTTTTTTTACCTTTCCTCTCTACTATTTTTCTACACGACAATATTTTCAAGCCTCTCTCTCTACCTTTATTTTAAAATATATAATTACAATAATTCCTACAGTCCTTATTATTCAATGATTACAAATTGAAAGAGTAAAGATATGGCTCATCAATGTTGAACCATCCAAGCGGTTTCGCCATATTATTCTCCAAACAGCTTCAATAGTGTATTAGACTTAATTCTTATATAACTTGAACTTGTTATTGAATACAGTAAAATGATTTTTTGAACAAACTTCGGACATATGCT